ATTTCATACTAAAATATAATAAAAATCTTATTTCACCTCGAAGTTATTAAAACTTCAAATTCCTGGACTCGTTGGATTGACACATCCTTGCGCTTTCACATGTTTTAATTTTATTCTTAATACTTAAGAAAAGTGGCAATTTTGTTGTGTATTAATGAAAAATATTAAAACTATAACCCAGAAAATTCAGAGTAGAAATGTTCATAATATGTAATTACACATTTTCAGTATAAATTAACTTCCACTGATACTCAGAGAAATTCTGTGAATACAAATCACATACAGACTAATGCGGGAAATAATTGCATCATATTGGAAATTAAAAAAAAAGTATTACTTATTCAATATTGCAATTTCACTGATATTCTAGAATTAATATTATTTTGGATTTGATGCAAGAGTTTTTCAAGTTATGTTTGACTAAAAAAGGAAAGTTGAGGGGGAAAAGGGGATTATATTTCCAACTTTTTCGAAGGGAGGGGGATACGATTCGAACTTTTCCCACAACAGACACTGTAGGATTTAACTATACTGCAACAAAAATTGGGGGGGGGGGGGTAATTAGCCTTTGAAAACATTTTATTTCTAAATTAACAGTAAACGATAACGTTCGGAGAAAAGCCCCCCCCCCCCCACCCCCCCTGATAATTTGCCTGTGATGCTGGATAGACAATTCAGAACAGAAGTAAACTGCCAATCTGTTAACTCATAAATCGAACTTCTGCTGGATCCGGGTAATTAACACCGTAAGGCTAAACTTAGCTGCATAACTGTAGCGTTATGTTTTTATATTTTAGTCTTTGACCATAACCATAACGCTACAGTTTGGCAGCTAGGCTAAACTATAACTACTGTGTCATGTACGGAAAAAAAAGGAACTATGAACAAGGTTATAACTATAAACATGCATTGTCTTCCAAGTCCCGTATAAGTGGACAAATTACAATTGTACAAGATGTTCTACATGAAAGAAGAGGAAGGTTAATTTAAAAAAAGTCATTTTTTTAAAAAGAAATTTTTACGCAATTGATTCCTCGCTCATTTAAGGAATTTAAACAGAAATGTGGTAGAAAATTGTCCAATACTTTTAAAATTAACGATTTGCAAGCTGAAGTCATTTTTAAAAGATATTTTAATTAACGCAATTGATTCCTCGCTCATTTACGAAATTAAGCAGAAATGTGGTGGAAAAATTACCAAATACTTTAAAAAAGTTAACGATTTGCAATCTGAACAGACAAATCTGTGATGGCAAGGTAAACAGTTTTAATTCATTCTTTTTTTTTGGGGGGGGGGTACCTATGTCTGGATTGTCTTGAGAATTTCATTTGTTAGTTGTTGATTAATCCTTAGTGCTTTTCAGTGAACAAAGAGCAACTAGTTCAAGAAGATGGACGAACAAGGCGAGCGAAATGCCTATAGTGCTTCAAACATGAATTGAAAAATTAAATCTCAACTATAAAAAAATTTCTGTGATATTTCATCTAACATTAAAGTATATTTTATGCGAAATCTCCAAAATTTGCAAAAATCTCACAAAGATTGAAATTATTTGCCTTTGAAATAGCATACACACACTAAAGAGGGCTAAAAGGACCATTTTCTCATATTATAATATAATTTTTCACTATTAGTGGGTCTTCGCTCCATTTTTTTGAAAGTTTATCCTCAAAGTTTGCGTAAAAATGTACATTTTTTGGTTAACAAAATCATGGATCAAGGAACCACTATACCTTAAAAATACACTTTCATGACACAACATTTGCATCTTTCTAAGAAATACTTGAAGTCCATTTAGTCAAAGGTCATATCACAAAACATGATTTAAATGCCACTCTTCTCCAGGAGCTGTGTTGCATAGTGGTTAGCGTGTTAGTCTCAAAGGAAAATGATACTCAGCATATTTATTGCTATGGTTCGAACCCCACGAATACCACTTTTTTTAAACAGATTTGTTTTTCCTAAGAAAAGGTTGTTTATCATAATTTCATAAAATTCAATAGTGAGAACTTTACTCTAAATACTAAATTCACAAAATAAATATGGTTTTTAAATTTTTGAAGTTATAGGCTTTCTACACGCCTTGTTCACCCATCTCCTTTAAATCAATGAAGGTGTAATATATCAGATTTCATTAAATATTTTATGACTACATGTATATTACATGCATTTATTTTCTAAAATCCACCCTTTTAATTTTTGCGTATTTCTGGGTACGTTTATTAAAAAAAAAACCCGAAGATTTATGACCCTACTTACAACTACTGACTACTTTAAAATAATATAAACCACAGTGGCTTATGAAAGTTTTATTAGCCTTTTAGGCGCCAAAATGCTCAACATTTCAATAGAAAAAAAAGCATATTCATTGTTAAATGTGTAAAATCACAAGAAGTTTGCAAATGTACTTCATTCTTCATAAGAATTGGTTCCTATAATATTTCGCTCATGTACAAAGATGTAAAGCAAAAGTCATAACAAGTAATTAAATCAGTAGATTATTTTTTAAAAAAAATTACCTGCATTGTCTGATGATGCATCGCTGACAAATCCTTCCAAAAGTTTTACAAATTATAGCATATATATGAATAAAAGTCAAAACTGAACATCTAGAAAACTGCTCACATTCGTGCAATAACGAGTAATGGCTTTGTTTCTTGATTTCGGAAATGCAGCCACATGTAGATGATTGAAGATATGTATATGATAACCTACATAAGAACAAATTTCTTATAGGAAGATGTGACAGGTGATAATATCACGACTTATATCTCATTAACAGGTGTTAATTAATTTTTCGCCGATATTGGAAAATTAATGTTTAGAGTACCCAGCGTCACTTGTCAATAAGAACAATATCATTTAGTGTTAAACGGTTCTCCGTGACTTTTGTAAGGTTCCAAGAAGAAACTGGAACTACAAAACAGGATTAGTTTTAAGTCAACTGAATCACTCACTTGACCTATTTCTAACCTTTTTTTTCGTCTGCCGTCGTGCATTTTGCGTCAGTCTATTACTTTTTGAACGTTTTTTTAACTTCTCCGAACCAATTTCAAAGCACGTATGCAAACATTTTGAATTTCACAGCCTCTGCCTCCATGAGGACTGATGGATGTGGCCATGCTAAAACCATGAAAATTAATGCGATCTTCAAGAATCTTCCTCAATACAAGTAGTTGCAATATAAAGGCCCTTATTTTCAGGCCCAAGGCTTAGTGGGACAAAGTTGGTCATATACATGTATGATGCGATACATTTCACATAAAATCTTGTTCTTTACTCCTGGATTTTAAGGAACTAAAAAGTGTTCATTATTCTAATGAGCAATGTTCTTAACTTATATATATATATATATATATATATATATATATATATATATATATATAAATCGCAATCAAAAACCATATAAAACAAGATGTGTTTGTGAAACATTGATGCCCCCGTATGGCAACTCATAACAAAAGTTAAACTTTCTCAAACGCAAATCCAATATGTTGGTACCCAAAGTAAGGTCTTGTCTCGAGGAATATACATGTGAAATATGAAAATCCTAGCAGCAACCATTGAATAGATATGGAAAAGGTTAAAGTTTTTCAAAAGTAAGTCAAACATCAAGGTCAAGTTCAAATGGTCAAAATTAATGGTGCCCAAGGAAAGGCCTTCTCACAAGAAATACACATGTGAAATATAAAAGCCCTAGCACTAACCGTTCAAAAGTTATATCTAAGGTTAAAGTCTCTCAAAAGTAGGTCAAATTTCAAGGTCAAAGGGTCAAATTTGTTGATATCTAAAGTAAGGTTTTGTCACAAGGATTACATATGTGAAGTATGAAAGCCCTAACACCAATTATTCAAAAGTAATGGCCAAGGTTAAAGTTTTCCAAAAGTAGGTCGAACTCCAAGTTCAAGGTCAAAGATGTTGGTATCCAATGGAAGGTCTTGTTACAAGAATTACATATGGGAAGTATGAAAGCCCTACCACCAACTATTTAAAAGTTATGGTCAAGGTTAAAGTTTTTCAAAAGTAGGTCAAACTCCAAGGTCAAGGTTTTTTGGTATTCAAAGAAAGGCCTTGTCACAAGGATTACACATGTGAAGTAAGAGAGCCCTAGTACCAATTGTTCAAAAGTTATGGCCAAGGTTAACGTTTTTTCAAAGTAGGTCAAACTTGAAGGTCAAGGTCAAAGGGTTAAAGTTGTTGGTATCCAAAGAAAGGTCTTGTCACAAGGTACAGTAAAACTCGTTTAGTACGAACACGGATATAGCGAAGTTATTTTGGATCCTCAGTTGTATAAATTTAACGAATTCCTTTTACGGAAATAACGAATTACGGATATAATAATTTCACAGGTCACAGTTTTACTGTATAGCGAAGTAATTTCACAGGTCCAAGTGACTTCGTTATAACCGAGTTTTACTGTATACCCATATGAAGTTTGAAAGCCCTAGCACCAACTAATCAAAAGTTATGGCCAAGGTTAAAGTCTAAAAATTTTTTTTGCAGAAGTGGGTCAAACTCCAAGGTCAAATTTTATGGTACCCAAAGAAAAGCCTTGTCACTAGGAATACACATGTGAAATATGAAAGACATAGCTTCAACCAATCAAAAGTTATGGGCAAGGTTAAAGTTTTTGCGGACAAACAGACAGACAGACAGAAAAATGGACGGACAGGGCAAAAACTATATGCCCCCGAATCTTCGATTACGGGGGCATAAAAACAAAAATGCATTTGTGTAACCATTTTTATTGACATCAAACTAAAGTTTAGGAGCAGTACTGTTAAGTAACAAGTTAAGCCACGTTAAGGCTACTTTTAGTAAACATGGCAACACCATTCATTGAATTCAAAAACTTTATTAACAAATCATTTAACATATTGCACTAGTAAAATACAATATCTATAATTGTGTGCTTTTATATTTGCTTTATCCATGTAGTTTATTATTTTTCAATACACATAACTATATTAACTTTAAAATAAAGCCTTTTTTATTTTAAAAAAAAATCCTATGAACTTCCCACAAATAAGTAATTTTCTATAACTCTAAATTTTACCAAATATGCCTCTTGACAACTCATTTAACTTTCTTCAGCTGTTCATAAGTCATGAAAAACTGTTGAAATAGTTAAGGAAATTATGGAAATAAATTTTATATGGAGAGAAATATTAAGGTAGATCTGATCTGAGACCAATAGACCACAAAAGTCTAGCTTTCACCATTTAAACTGGGTGTAACTCTAATTTCTAAACTGGAAAACGACCCTATAAATCAATTACTTTGTTTACTTCACTTAATCTATTTCCTCCATTTGCTGCTGACATTTTATTCATAATTATTTGCCTTGTTCTCAAAACTACTCAAAAATATCACCGAGAATAAATTTCCTACTAGATTTTATACTAGAAAATAATGTTATATGGTACAAAGATATCATATTCTTTATTTGCAATATATTTCTCATTTAATACCGTAAAACTCTAATTGTACATTTTAAATATGTGAAATCCACTTCATTCTGTAGAGAGCTTGCTGCATTTGGTCGACATAATCAGCTCAAAAAAGATTTTATGATGGACATAAAATGCACAAAATTTGTCCATCTTATATTTCTTGTCACAAACGAAAAGCAGTACTATGAGGGTTGTCCATAGAGTTCCTGGACTTTTTGTCAAAACGAATGGTTCTAGATATACTTACTGTATACCTAGATATTTGTTATGAAAATCCAATTCAAAATAATTTGGTTTTTATTGTTTGAACTTAATATTTTTGTAAAAATCGCGGTCTTTAAAATGTCATAAACTTTTAAATAAAGTGTTCTGATTAAAATGATTATTTTCTTTATAAAATAAGTCAAAGCTTAACAAAAAGTAAATATTTCGCAAATAAAGTGGCTATCGTCATTTTCTAATATCTTTAGTATCGCCTACTATACAACAGTGAAAATATTAAGTAAATTCAGCAAGAAAAATGTTTCAAAAATTAACAGAAAAAGTGATTTTGGCCATCCGAACGGAACAACGTCCAATCATAAAAAAAAGGTTTTAATATGGCTGAAAGGACTTCAGAGACAAAATATTTATTCAAACAACTTGAAATTATTGCAATAAATTTAGTTTATTGGTTTGAAATTGTAATTTTCTTCATTATGCCACATTGCCAAACGTGTGCAATAATATTTATGTATAGACCATAATTGATTTAATTGAAATTAGCTTTACGTCAGACTGGGCAGTGCGGCTTGCATTTACATGTACAAAGTATTTACACCTGTACCGTTTGTAAAATAGTGGCATTGTTTTAATTTTTATATATTTACAAAATCATGGTCTATTTTAAAATATCATCGTACAAGTTTGCCAGTGTGGACTTTATTAAGAAAATTATAATAGCATCTGTCCAAACTTCATGGACAACCTTCGTATATGTATTTCTTAAGTAATTTAATGTATGACAGTTTTTTTTTTATCCCAAAGAATAAACCTTAACTGTCAAAGAAATTGTTACCATGAAATATTTTACATTTTTGACTCGGGTCGAGGGCAACATGCGTTTTGTCAGACCCCAAAACAAAACTGTTTGCCTGAGGCTGACAGGCAGTGAGGCTGAAGGCAAACAGTTTGGTTCGAGGGTCGACAAAACGCATTTCGCCCAAGAACACAGTAAATAAATGTTTTGTTATACCTTTGTTTTTTTTTCATCGGAACTACGTATATATACGTTAAAAATACACCGTTGTCTAAGAATAGATCTACAAATGCCAGAACAGCCTGTACTGTATTTCAAATTTCCACTTTCTTCTGACGTTCATTATTATATCTATGAAATACGGAGATAACGAACAGTATTCAAACTCAAAGCCCACTAAATTAAAAACAATACATATCAGAAGCAGATCTATCTATCTTTCATTATAAGAATAATATATAATCATTAAATTTTCTATGCCAGTGATAACCCCTTTGCACTGACTTTCTTATAAAAAAAAAACCTTAATAAACTAATTAACATTTCTATCAGAAATATTATGAAGGATACAATAATATTCCATGGACCCAGCCTGACCCAAATAGGGACGAAACCTTTATACAGAGCCATAAATCCTTCTGTTTTTGTTGTCTGCAAAGAAAAAGTTTATAGATGGACAAAATAAATTTATTCAGCAAATACTGAAAATCATCACTCATTCTTGACTATTTTTTCTCAATGATCATGTAAAATCTAAACAATTACCATTATTAATTTTTTTTAAATTGTCACAATACAGGTAGAGTATGCAAGTTTGACTGATTGGTTTATGACAACAAACAATAAGTAGATGTGTAAAGCACAATTGGGGGGGGGGGGCAGAAATACTTACCTTTTATTACAGAAGGGGCAGAAATAATTACCTTATATTACAGGAGGAGCAGAAATAATTATCTTTTATTACAGGAGGGGAAGGAATAATTACCATATATTACAGGGGCAGAAGAAATGACCTTATATTAGAGGATGGGCAGAAATAATTACCTAATATTATGGGAAGTGCAGAAATAATTGCCTTATATTACAGGAGGGGCAGATATAATTATCTTTTATTATGGGAGGGGCAGAAATAATTACCTTATATAACAAGAGGGACAGAAATAATTATCTTTTTATACAGGAGGGGCAGAAATAATTACCTGTATAGCACAATCAATGGAGGAAAAGTAATTAGCTGAATAGAACAATCAATAGAGGGAGAGTAATTGATTGGTTGTTTGTTGTTTACTGTTTGGAGAGGGAGTATTTACCTGTATAGCAGGACTAGACAAATAGCACTGCCCAACCCCCAGGACAACCAATTTTGTTTGGCGGGCAAGTTATTTGATAAGTGCTACCTGCCCGTGGACAAGTAGTTTTCCTGTTAACAAAAAAACATATTCTCAAATGTTGTTTGTTCTACAGCTGTTGGTTAAAATATTATGAATCATGTTTTGCTGCTGTTGACCACTACATCGAATACTCGTTCAGAACTCCTCTAGAGTTTTTCCATTCATGTGTTGTTAAAATATACACAAGATGTAAAACATAACAGCTATGGATGTCATGTCAAAAAAGAAATGGCTTTAAGACCTTTTTATTGTTTAGTAATTTTACTATGGTAATTTTACTATGGTAACCTGTCCGAGGGCAAGTACTGCAAAATTCTATTTGTCTACCCCTGTATAGCACAATCAATGGAGGAGTGACATTTACCTGTACAGCACAATCAATGGAGGAGTGACATTTACCTGTATAGCACAATCAATGGAGGAGTGACATTTACCTGTATAGCACAATCAATGGAGGAGTGACATTTACCTCTATAGCACAATCAATGGAGGAGTGACATTTACCTGTAGAGCACAATCAATAGAAGAGTGACATTTACCTGTAGAGCACAATCAATGGAGGAGTGACATTTACCTGTAGAGCACAATCAATGGAGGAGTGACATTTACCTGTAGAGCACAATCAATAGAAGAGTGACATTTACCTGTATAGCACAATCAATGGAAGAGTGACATTTACCTGTATAGCACAATCAATGGAGGAGTGACATTTACCTGTAGAGCACAATCAATTGAGGAGTGACATTTACCTGTAGAGCACAATCAATGGAGGAGTGACATTTACCTGTAGAGCACAATCAATGGAGGAGTGACATTTACCTGTAGAGCACAATCAATGGAGGAGTGACATTTACCTGTATAGCACAATCAATAGAAGAATGACATTTACCTGTATAGCACAATCAATGGAGGAGTGACATTTACCTGTATAGCACAATCAATGGAGGAGTGACATTTACCTGTATAGCACAATCAATAGAGGAGTGACATTTACCTGTATAGCACAATCAATGGAGGAGTGACATTTACCTGTATAGCACAATCAATGGAAGAGGAGTAAATCTTTGAAGACAAAGTCTTTTCCTTTAGGTTTTTTTGGTTCATCATTCTTGTCTGTCATGAAAAAAAAAAGATTATATGATCTTTTCATATAGCTTATGAAATCTTTTTACTTGATGAATAATTAAATGAAAATGTGTTGTTTATTTTATTTTTGAGCATTTATATTGTAAACAATTTGAATCAAACAATAAATAAAGTGCATTGCAAGTAGATTGCATTTGAAAACAGTTCTTTCTAATTAAGTGAAAAATGAGCAGTCCATTCCATCTGCCTTATCTAAAAAAAAAAGTTTAATAAAACTGAGGTTGTTTTCATCATTTTTGAATGGTGCTATATATGGAACACCATAGCTGCCTGAAGGTCACTTTCACATTATATGAGGTGGTAAAACCTTTATATGTAGTGGTGAAGTCATTATATATAGTGGTAAAATCATTATATCCATTGATAACTTTATTATAGGCAGTGGTTTTATCATTATATACAGTGGCAATGTCATTATATGTAGTGATTAAATAATGTAATGAAGTGATAATATCATTACATTATGCTGTAAAATCATCATATGAGAGGTTATTCCATTATATACATTAATGAAATCTTTCTATGATGTGATAAGTCCAATATATACATTTACAAACATAGTTTGTGTGATAGTGCAATCATTACATTATATGAAACACGTTGCATGTGCAGTGCCAAGTTCATTTCATTCAGTGCGACACCTTTACATGAAGTGAAAAATTTATTATGTGCAGTACTAACATCATTACATTATAAAGTAAAATTATTATATATATTTCAAAACCATGCTATGCAGTGGTAACATCTTTATATGAGGTGGTTAATAATTATATGTCATTGTTAATTCTTTATATGAAGTGGTCAATTCTTTATATGCTTTAGTCGTTTCATGTTATGCAGTGGTAACTTCTTTATCATCATCTAAACTGGTCCTCTTAAGAAGTAAAAACCATGATGAGTTCCAGTTTAAAACGAGTGTTGCTAAAACGAGAATTGGAAAACGGAACGAAAGCGGAATGGAACGGAAAATCTTATATCAAATTATTTACTACACGCATATATAAATCAGACAGTAACCAGTATTCTTTATCAAACTGCTTATATCCTTTTAAAAAATAATGTGTTTCACACAGACTATGTCTATAACTGTATATATTGAACTTATCACATCATATAAAGATTTCATTAATGTATATAATGGATTAACCACTGCATATAATGATTTTACAGCATAATATAATGATATTATCACTTCATTACATTATTTAACCACTACATATTATGACATTGCCACTGTATATAATGATAAAACCACTGCCTATAATAAAGTTATCAATGGATATAATGATTTTACCACTATATATAATGACTTCACCACTACATATAAAGGTTTTACCACCTCATATAATGTGAAAGTGACCTTCAGGCAGTTATGGCATTCCATAGTTATACTCCACAATACACTTGATCCCATAAATAATTTGCAGTAATGAGTATACATGCATAAAATACCAAGGGGAAAGCTTACAATGTGATGGCAAACCATGTTTTCTTTTGTGTGAACAGTAGGGCCTACTGTTATTTCTCACATAAATTATAAAAGCTTTCTATTCTGAAAACTGTAGGAAAGGACTTCCCAATACCAATGGATCCTGTATGCAATATTTTTCATGAAATTGACTTTCAACAACTGAGGGGTTTTTTTCTTAAATTATCAAAAATCAAAATCCAAGAGCTATGCACATCTCTGATATATGTCTAATTGATAGGTCTGTAAAATAAAAAAAGCTCCAATCCAAGTATTAGATCAACTTGGGAACATTCAACATCTAGAAACTATACTTTGTTTAATAGAATACCTACCTTGCTGACTGGAAAATACATTATACAGTAAAAAATGCTTATAGCAAAGTTTTGTTATAAACAAAAATTATGTTATTTAATATCCAATATGTGTCATATTTTAAAACTATAGAGAATGAAAATCAATTCACAGTAAAGCATGAATTCTTAATAATCCAAATAAAATATCTGAAAATAGAATTATATCTTGTAAAATTCGCTGTATAAACCATGTTTTACTGTACATGTAATAAAATACCTACCTTGATAACATCAACTGGAGTGGAAAATATAGCACCGGCTAATCCTGCAAAAAAGCTTGATCTGTAAATAAAACAAATACAAAAATACATATAAATGGCGAAGCAATATATTCATAAATTACCACATTCATTAGCAAAAGGTACAAAAAAAAGCTTGACTTGTAAATAAAACAAATGCAAAAGTACACACAAATGGCAAAGCAATTTATCTATAAATTACCACATTCATAAGCAAATAAGGGTCCTTGATAGCTATTTCTGATATTTAAATTTCAAACTAACATTTTTTCTTCATGCAAACAATTTGAAACTGAATTTCTAAATATATCTTATTGCATTATTGTATCAAAATGTCCTACAAATGGATAATGCATAACTTTGATGATGCTACTTCCCATACCAAAATAAAGTACAAAAAAGTATACTTTAATGCTACTTTTATACTATATAAATTTGTGCTTTTTAGAAAAAGGTCAGAAAAAGTATACTTTTTTTGTACTGGGCCAGATAGCCTCTGAAAGCTGATGACCTTTTTTTGTACTTTATTTGGACTTAGTTTTTTTCCACAGTACTTTTTTTGTACTTTTTAGGACTTAGTTTTTTTCCACAGTACTTTTTTTGTACCTAATTTGGACTTAGTCTTTTTTCACTGTACTAAAAATGTACTTTTCTGGGACTTAAACTTTTTTGGCAAAATCGGTAAAATAAGGATGTACTTTTTATTACCTAATTTGGACTTAGTCTTTTTTCACTGTACTAAAAATGTACTTTTCTGGGACTTAAACTTTTTTGGCAAAATTGGTAAAATAAGGATGTATTTTTTTATGTACCTAATTTGGATTTAGCTTTTTTCTCATTGCAGTGTTAAAAATTAATTTTGAAATTTCAAGCAGATTATTCAATAATTAAAAAAAACTGTAAAGTGATGAAATGATATTACAATCTATGTATGATGTTGATATAAAGTGTTTAAAAAAAATGTGGAAAAAGACAGGGGGTGTAGAACACAGTTTTTATCAAATGAACAATTTGTTCATATAAAAATTATTAATTACATTATTCTTGTGATTTAATATGGTTTTATTCTTTTGTGAGCATTCACAATCCAATTATGTTATTAGCATGAGAGTATAGATATATGTATATTTGTTGCAGGAAAGGGGGGGGGGTCAACATTATTGTTACAAATGCCAATGGTTTTAAGATTATTGATTCAGTTGAATAATTCACAGGGAATAAAATAAAATGTTATTGCTCCTTTAGTCTTCTCTCTTCATCCTACAAAATATTTTAGTTCTGAAAATTAGGAAGGGGGGGGGGGGTAGTCTTATATGCATGTATCAATATTTTTATCATACAATGTCCATTTTATGTTCAACAGAAGTCCTAAATTATTCATGTTATATTATAATCATCAAGATCTAGTGAACCTTCTGTAAATTACATTGTAAATCTGAATAGTCTTGAGTAATTATCTCCCCCTCCTCTCTCTCTCTCTCTCTCGGGAAATACAAAAATGTAACATTATTTAATGGGAAATCTTCTACAATATTCTGCAAAGGGAATTCTATATACCAACATGAACAAGTAGTCCAGATATATTTCACAACTCTCTCTCTCTCTCTCTCTCTCTCTCGTTTGCAAACCATGTTGATTTCAAGTGACACAGGTGTTTGTACTCAATGACCTTTGTTGTCTAGACTAGTGGAAACTTGTGAAGTTGCATATTTCACAATAAGATTTGGTGAACCTGTAATAGATTTGGCTATCATGGTAAATAAAACGGATTCGCATGATTAATGAGAAATGTGGGCTAAATTTATTTAATAAAAGTAAAATAGAGTTTATATAGTGCTATATATTTTAATAATTAAAAACGGAAATAGGAAGGCACGAATATAAATACAAAAGCCTCCAAGATGCACCATGCCCATCGTTTTATTTATCACAAGGAACTTCGTCATGTTTACATGTACACGATTTATTTAAGTAGCATGTGCAAAATTCCATGCTGTAATAGATATTTCGACATTGAGAATGAAGACTGCCAGTTTGATTAGGATGTTTTAGCAGTTAACAAGGGCATTCAGAATTTCTTGTGGCTTTATTAAATAAAATAATTTCATTAAAAACAAACAAACAAACAAAATGGCGACGACGATCATAAAACGTACTGGCGATCACGATGATGGTAAAGCTACCTATCGAGTATTACATAGAAAACGGCTTTAAAATAAATTTGATGACTTAAAAAACATTATTACGGGAGTTTTTTTGTGTTTTTTTGAACTAATTTAGTAATTATTTATTTCCTTTTTTGATCACGTGATTCTTACGAAATCTACGATTGGTCAACGACGAAGCGCGGATTTTTTTCAGAGACGATTTGAAAATTGGTGGGATGGAAATGCCGAGAACAAAAAGGAGATAAAGAAGTCGGTAAGACTATATTTATATTTAAATTTTATATGTTGTTATCAGGAAATGCATTTTACCACTTTAGAAATGTATTCAGTGGAGAATTTCAATGTAGATTTTACGTAATTGTGGACATTTGTGTCTTCGATTTCTGGTTTGTTTTGATCAGTATGACGATGTATATAAACTTAAGTTAACATACTGAAACATGCTTTTTCTCTGGCTCAATGTAACATGAATCATTTAGTTCCTTGATATATTCAATTCTTCAAATATTTCAGTATAATTCATGCAATAGGTTTATAATACAGTCAGCATTGGTCAGTATCTGGGAACATTTACTGTAGCCTAGCTAAGTCTTGGCATGATGAAAAAAAAATACATATCAAATCTACTGAATTTTGTAAGATTAAAGTTAGTAAAAGTAATGGATTTTTGTTAAACATGTTAAAAGTGAGGATCGTTTGTGTGATGTGGTTGGTAGTGGGGGGGGGGGTGAAGGGGTAGTAATAATCATGTGGTTGATTAAACAAGCAAAAAGTATCAGCATTTACCTGTATCTGAAAAATTTAAAGTTGAACTGCATAGTTATACTGATCATCTTTCCTGGGTGAAAAGAACTTAAAGGTGGGGGGGGGGGGTATATAAACATAATATTGAGACACATGATTATTTTTCTATTTGCTCATATAACATTAGGAATTTAGACAGGGATATCAAACTCACTTAACAATTTTTCAAAATCATTGTCAGGTTTAAAAAAATGAAAATAATTAAATGTTTGTGTGTGGATGTAATGCCGGAGAAGTTCTTAAACATTCAAGTTACCTGATTTTTCTTTTATAATTTTCAGCAGTGCATGCATGTGTTTTTTGCCTGAGCATCTCACTAACATGCAGAGCCATAGGAAAATGCTTCAACGATTTAAGTGTATCTTATCATCAGTAAGTACATATTAATCTAATTTGATTTCTGTAAATTACAAAATAGACGTATCAAATTAGTAGGCTTCGCCGCTTGTCTGTCCTTAATATACTCATGCACTGAAAAGACTTATTTTAAAACTTTATAAGTGATAGGGATGATCGGGGGTTAATTTTTTGGATTTTCACATAAGAATTTTGAGTTTTAATTGGTTTTCAAGTTATTTGAATATTAAACTGAATATATGATTCTATATGTCAGTCTGCCATGTATTAAGCACAGGAATGCTGCTTTTTGAGAACATGTTTGATTTAAAACTGAAAAAAATATGCTTTGATTATTAAACTTTTTTTTGCAGAACCCAAGGAAAAGTACTTGAAGGCTGAAATCATTTAGCATATTCAAATGAAGATCAGTGAAAAAATGGGTGACATTAACACTGCTATGCGGTCAAAGGTTAGTGCACTGAATTGTGTCAGCAAGAAAATTCAAACGGGAGGGAAAGATGGGATGGCTAGACTGTGAAGGAGCAGAGATGATCTGTGAGCATGATCAATCAGTGACATAACCATGCATTATAAGTTACTAGACTATGAAGGATCAGATCTTGTTATTTACAGAATTATAATCTTGTTGATGATTTAATGTTCCAATATATTCTTTAAATTATTTATGGAAGATTAGTACTGAAAATAATGAATAATGTAATGAAGATGTGGGGTTTCATGCTTCTGAATTTTGATAAAAGCTAGCATTTAAGATTTTTGAATTGTAACTAATATTTCATAGAGATTTCCCCGATTTCCAGTTTCTCTGATTTTTTTTTCTGATATTCAGATAAGCTGAATTTTTTTTCCCTATAATTCATATTTTTGTTAAAATTTCATGCTTTCAAAATACAATTTTGTACTTTTAATTGGTTTCATTTTGGTAAACCTGAGCTTAATGGTCATTTTTGAGGTTTTTCATTGTTCTTTCAAAATAATATATATGTATTTTAAAAAAAAAGGGGGGGTATTTGCGATATATTTTTTTTGGGGGGGGGCGTGCTTTTTCCCTACTTTTTTTGTACCAATTAAAAAGTATACTTTTTTCGTACTTTCATTTAATTTTGACATTTTATTGTACTTTTTTAAGCATCAATCTAAAGAAGTACTATTTTTATACTTTTTCTGCATACATTTTTGTACTTTTCTCTGGAAGTATATTTTTTTTGTACCTCATACATTTCTGTACTTTTTTCTGGAAGTATACTTTTTTTGTACTGGAAGTATACTTTTTTTGTACTTCATACATTTCTGTACTTCTTTCTGGAAGTATACTTTTTTTGTACTGGAAGTATACTTTTTTTGTACTTCATACATTTTTGTACTTTTTTCCAGATGTACTTTTTTTGTACTTTTGTATGTTAGTTTTAAGAATATACTTTTTCTGTACTTCCAATTATACTTTTTTTGTACTTTTCTCAAATATAGAAATGTACCAAAAGTATACTTTTATTATCTTTTTTTTGTACCCAAGAACCTGAGTTCTCATAAAGCACAAAAAAAGTATACTTTTTTTGACTTAATTTGGAACGACCAAATCTCTTGTTCCAAATTTAGTCGAAAAAAGTATACTTTTTGTGACCTTTTTTTGTACTTTTTTTTCGTACCTAATTTGTACTTAATTTTGGTATGGGTTGGCTTTATAAATTCTTTTTGAAATCATTTATGAAGAATGAAAGTGACTGATTAATAGTCAAGCCTTACATAAAATGTACACCAACATTATCTTCAAAATATCCCGATCTAAGTATCCAGTATTTAGAGAAGTCGTACACAGGAAGCTCCACACCAGCAATGATTGCTGCTCGCTGCGCAGTGGGTATCACACCCTACAACATTGTGATAATGTATCATTAGAGATGAAATGTGGCTCAAAATTCTCTATCCCAACTTAACATGGCTATAAAAGTTCAACAAGAAACAACACACTTTTTTGTGTGCAATAAATATACACATTTTTGCACTGTAGCTCTCTGGTCATCCTTTTCAATTTTTTTTCTTCAGACCAGCGAGTTACAAATCTGCAGCTATAGTGAAAAAAATAATCAATGTTATATTTACATCGAAATATTATCCCTTTTATTTCCTATGAAAACCAACCATTTATCAATACTTTAAAGCTTCTAAGCAAGCCAACTCTACAGATTTCATGAGCAGTGCCTCTTTCATCAATGAAACATACAATGATGTACATATCAGATTATCAGTTACACAATATGAAATATACTTAATCCTACTTCATATGTTTATATATTCATACATACATTTAAACAATGAAATGTCTTTGTTTGTTAGCATGGGCATTAACGTTAAAAGCTTTACCTGGGTTATGTGAGGGTTATGTGCAGGTTATGTATTTTTTCTGCAACAGCAGCAACTTTAATTCCCATACTAACACCAAAAAAAAGCATTTTATTGTTTAAATTAACACACACCCTCCAAAGACCTTTTATGCCTTCTTCTTTATATATCCTTCCAAAGGCTTGCAACATGGATTCTTTGTCATTTATATCTGTCTTAGCTTGTAAGCGAACCTAAAAAAAAAAAAGCATGAACAACTGCAGCACAAGTATTCTTTTCTTTCCAAGCATCAAACAGAGGTAATCAGAGATTACAGAGCTCACCTCAACGAATGTTATCTTTAAGTAAGGCAAAGTCCCACACTAAACTAATAATCTAGGAGTGTGCATCCCTATATGCAACATTTATGCAATTTTGGTCTGATAGGGCTTGCAGTTACTTGGGAATATACTTATCTGAAAACTTAAAACTAGTCACTCATCCAGAAAATGTAAGTCAAATCCAGCATCTGAAGCAAGTTTTGAGATTGTTCATCCCTTGATGCATCATCCATGCAAGTTTGGTTCAGATAGGCCTTATAGTTACTTGGAAATGAGATCTGCTCCAAAAACTTTAATCTGGTTACTCATCCAGAAAATATAGGTCAGATCCAGCATCCGAAGCAAGTCCAGTAGTGTGAATCCTTAGATGTATCATCCATGCAAGTTTGGTCAATATAGGGTTTATAGATACTTGGAAATGAGATCTGCTCCAAAAACTTTAACCTGGTCACTCATCTGGAAAATATAGGTCAGATCCAGCATCCAAAGCAAGTCCAGTAGTGTGCATCCTTAGATGTATCATCCATGCAAGTTTAGTCAAAAGGGCTTATAGTTACTTGGAAATGAGATCTGCTCCAAAAACTTTAACCTGGTTACTCATCCAGAAAATATAGGTCAGATCCAGCATCCGAAGCAAGTCCAGTAGTGTACATCCTTAGATGTATCATCCATGCAAGTTTGGTCAATATAGGGTTTATAGATACTTGGAAATGACATCTGCTCCAAAAACTTTAACCTGGTCACTCATCCGGAAAATATAGGTCAGATTCAGCATCCGAAGCAAGTCCAGTAGTGTGCATCCTTAAATGTATCATCCGTGCAAGTTTGGTCAATATAGGGCTTTCAGTTACTTGGAAATGAGATCTGCTCCAAAAACTTTAACCTGGTCACTCATCCGGAAAATATGGGTCAGATCCAGCATCCGAAGCAAGTCCAGTAGTGTGCATCCTTAGATGTATCATCCATGCAAGTTTGGTCAATATAGGGCTTATAGTTACTTGGAAATGAGATCTACTCCAAAAACCTTAACCTAGTCACTCATCTGGAAAATGTAGGTCAGATCCAGCATCCGAAGCAAGTTCAGTAGTGTGCATCCTTAGATGTATCATCCATGCAAGTTTGGTCAATATAGGGCTTATAGTTACTTGGAAATGAGACCTGCTCCAAAAACTTTAACCTGCTCCAAAAACATTAACCTGGTCATTCTTTAGCTGAAATTGCAGCATCTGAAACCTTGACTGGTACAATGAAACACACTAGAAGCATCCTCCATGCATCTCTGACTAATATAGGCCACAGAAGTACTTGAAAAGAAAACTGCTCCAAAAACCTTAACCTGGGACGCAGACACCGAGGGTATTACATAAGCTCCCCCAACTTCGTTGAGGTGAGCTAAAAACTGGTGTACATGTATGTATTTACAGAAATAAGTTTCAATAAGATGCAAATAACACTCTTAGTTTTATTTTCTCAGTATTTGAAAGCAAGTTGGCATGATTTTCTGAAAGCATCTTGCCTTTAGAACATCAGTGGGGTTGGCTATTGCACTTGACACAATTCCTGCTACTATTCCACAGCAAACATTGATAAATAACGTTGACTCTGGAAGAAAACTGTACATGTAGCAATAATTGTAGTTTTGACATTAATATTATAAGTATAATGAAATGAGCAGGAATGTGGGCTCTAGTACTGCTAGGGAATCATGAACTGGTACCATGCATATATTTATCAAATAGATTATAAATTTATATTTCGTGGTGGTCATGAAGTTTCAACTAAAGACTGCATCGAAATCATGAAAATATGACTTTCACATGAAATACATACTGTCCAAATAAATGCAAAGATTTTATAACAAGATCATGCTGGAACTACTATTATTCTAAAGCAAGCAATACTGATCGAGAGTGAGCTCACAAAGTAATGACCCTTCACAAGCAACCCATCATTTCAAGCCTCAGTCAAGGGTCCAGGAGGATCGTACATTTTGGTCTAGGTTTATGACAATACCAGTAACTCTGACCTTGTATACAATGACAATGCCAGTAACCCTGACCTTGTATACATTGACAATGCCAGTAACCCTGATCTTGTATACATTGACAATGCCAGTAACCCTGACCTTGTATACATTGACAATGCCAGTAACTCTGACCCCTGACCTTGTTTAAGTTATCTTACTTCAAGTACATTCTCATCTGCTACAAATGTGTACAGCAAAGTCCACAGTCTTCTCATCAGAGACCTAGTTTGTACTTACCTCAATGAACTTGGGTCAAGGTCATATGTCTCATATCATGCCTTTGGGCAATAATAAAATGTTGTGACATTTTATTCAATCATGTAAATTCACTTGTTTTTGTGGGGACAAATTTTTGCAGTTTGAGGAAAAAGGATATTCTCCAGGATTCAATTTCGTGGTTGGTGGACAAAAATGATACTAGCAGGATATTTCAATATTTCAAGGAAGACATCGATTTAAGGTCTCTTTATATCATACAAAAAAACAAAAATTAAAACATGAAAATTAGTGGTTTCACAGTAAATGAAAACCCTTGCCTCAAGAATTCTCTTGACAAATATGATAAAAATTAAACAACTGTTACATGTAGTTTCTTCAAATTTAGCCCACATTCTTAGGTACACTGTATTTTAGGTACAATTCTGACCACTATATATACTTTATATATGCATGTATGTACATTGTTATAGTACTGAAATAGTTATGTTCAGTAATATTTTCCTAGGTATATCAGAATTACCTTGTGGATTATCAACTAACATGGATTTAAGTGAATGGTAAATTCCAATTTTGATTGTTCCATAGGTAGCTTGTCTAAGAATGGCTGGGGATATTCTACAAAAACAAAAAAATAAGTCTAGACTTCAGAGTTTCCTTCAAAGGGAATTAATACACTTCTTCACACCATAGTAAGTGAGGTAATTCAACAAAAGATATTTGTTCAGGATTTAATGGCTAAAAGTGGGTTATTAAAGAGACAGTTTGGCAACACATGATATGGGATTCCCAAAAGAGACAGACACATTACACAAAATTTAACTCGGAAAAAACTCTGGCGAGAAAAAAAAACTTGAATGTTTCAAGTAACAGTCAGCTGATAACACACAGCTTTGATTTCTCCGGGGGTTTTTTTCCCCTTCCTTTTTTTTCATTTTAAGGTCTGTAGATTGCTGTGCCCTTTTCTTGCTATACACATTCATGTGCTATTTTCAAACATTATTAAATTTTTAGTTTTATTCTGCCACAAAAAAGCAACACAACTATAACTTAAGGTAAAATCTACAGAATCCAAACTTATGATTTGAAAAGAATTAAATGTTCTCCATTTTACCCTGAGTAGAGTGCAGAAAGCCCCTCCTCTCGAAATATTCTCAACATGGCATGAGTCATCCCTCTGTATCGAAGCTCGGACAACCGAGCGTCAATTATCTGCCCCTGAATCTGTAGCCTTGTCTTTGTTGTGTCAATAGGAAAGGTACCTGAAAACATTCATGTTTAGTTTGAGTTTTCACATACAACAATACAATCAACAAGGAAATCTAATATATTTCTCAATTGTTTGTTTATTCAATATTATCTCCTTCATGTTAATTTTCACCTCCTGCAGAATCATTTATTTTCAAATGGGAAAATGGGCCCTGAAACCAGAGGGTCAATAAACAAAAAATTCACAAATTTTGTTTCCATTTTTTCCATTGACCTACAGAAGTTAAGGGGGCCGTCTGGGGTTTTCATTGCGCAATACTTCGCGCAGCATAGTTAAATAAAGCGTATTTTCTCTTTTAAAGCAACTATTTTTACATAATTTACAAAAATTAGCAAATTTAGGAAATCTCAGGTTAAAATATCTAATTACCTCTTAAAATAAATGATTTTTTAAAAGATTTTTCATACGATGGGTAGATAGACATCGTAATAGTGTGTTTTTGACGTTATGAATAACCAAAGTTCTTTAAGAGGTGTCATTGATTATGCCATAAAATAAAAAGTATAAAATACATACTCTTGAAATTTTAAACATAGGAAATTGAGAATCTAACAATCATTTTTATAATTTTTTATGTAAATCTGTGGTATCTGTCATGTTTTGTTGTACTCCACAAAAACAGGAAAATATCATGAATTTTGACATTTTGAGATGCCCCCCTCTGGAAACCAGACGGTAGAATTTTGTGTTTCTTGCACAAAATGTACAATATAGTATTACCCATCAAATAATATAATTTGAGCAAAAAGTCTATAGTAGCATTTGTATAATTTGTTCCGAAGTGCGAAAAAATGGTATTTTCCTATATAATCCTATAGTAAATATACCTGTATTTTGAGATGGTCCCTAAAAAATAACCAGACGGTAGATTTTCACTAAACTTGGCATGTATACTGAAGTCAATGTAAAGTACATATTGTATAAAATTAAGGAGTTTCTCTATAGTAGTTTTCACACAATAAAACCCCAGTCGGCTCCCTTAAATACCAAAATTAATTGGAATTGAGAGAAGAAGCTGAAAATTAATGCTCAAAAGTTTATGAATGACGTGTTATAACAGACAGGATTAGATAACAATAGTGAGTGACTCGTATGACCTAAAAAGTTAGTTTTAAGAAATTAATTGTATCTGTACTGATCATATTCATTTATAATTAAAAAAGCACAGGAGTTCCAGAGAAGTCCGAAAAAATTCAACAATTTGCTAATTATAGAAAACAACACACAAATGCAAACAGCAATAAAACAAATAAGTTACCTGAGTGAATCAAGTGACTTAAAAAGTAAATAAAGACTAGAATTTGAATTTTTTTGTAGAGACTGTGTAATGACTGGTACATATTAGAGAATCTGTTACCTATCTCTGCAGTTATGGATGCCAGCCCTCCGTATACAAATGGTCTCCAGTCACCCATCTTATCACCCCTCTGTACCAACCACTACAAATACAAGATATACAAGATTCTATTAGTCCAATTTGGGCCCCCGGAGGAGCAAAGATTTACAAACATACAAACAAACAAACAAAAAAAGAAGGAGGATCAAAACGATAGAAAAATTCAACAAACATAATATAAATCACTGTACTAAAAAATAGAAATTGTTGAAAAATTGAGTAATCACATAATTATAGCATTTGACCACTCACTGTTAAACTGTTGTAAGCAGATCGGACATCAACTGGAACTCTGTTCTTGTACGTGTGACATATAATCAAACAGTCTCATGAGGACTTTCTAATCATTACCATGCATGCAGCTTATCAATTGAAGTTCAAGAGTAAAGAAGATGGGTACATTGTATAAAAATTTTAATTTATGATCAATTTAGCCACACCCTGAGGCCTGATCCCTGGACCTGAGGGTGTGAATTTTAATCTTTGAAACAGCTAGTTGCCCATTACAATCATGTGTAGTGGCTTGGGCTATACGGATGATAGATATTGGCCTGGGTAGCTAAGTGGTTCAAGCATCCGACTAGTGATGCTGGGGTTCAAGGTGCAATTCAGAATCCAGCTAAATTTTTTTTCCTTTCCTGTTACATTCGGTTTTAAAGTCCTGTCAGTCACTATAGAATCTCGGTTGTGTTCTTCTACAGTGAAAGATAATATATATTTCAAGGATGGAGGAATGTACTAGTTTGAAGATTAGCCTAATTGTGGATACATGTATCAGCCTAGGTAGTGAGTAGCTAAGTGATGAGAGCACCTAACTCGTGATGCAGAGGTCTAGGGTTTGAGTCCCGATTCAACATAAATTTTCTTCTTTCTTATTACACATGCAAACATGATACCCAAAAGAGAGTTCAATTTGAGTGACAAGAGTGCTCTACCCCAGGGTCCTTCTTCACCTTAACAAATGATATACGCCAAAGAAAGTGGTGAAAGATTTATTTTTGTTACAGTTAGATAACCAGGAGTTCAAAAGATAGGTTATACCGTTTGGCAGGATCAATCAAACGATCCATTCAGGTCGAATTTCCTCGGAAGTTAACATCTAATCAGGGGCTTAATTTATACATATAACTAATAAGAAAATGCAAATTCACACAAACTTTGAACTCCTACTAACAGAGATACCTACATGTCTTTTCTATTGTGTTGTCAACTTATCGCTCGTCATCCCGATCCAAACAGACATACCATGGTCGATACTGGCCTAACCTGCCACATGTTATCGAGCAGACGCTACCAAGAAAGTAAATGAAACGAAAGATAACTCTTTATCATAATTAGGCCTATCATTTTACATAGGCCTATCATTTTACAGACCAACTTTAAAAATAGGTAATAATTCTAACATTCTGTACCGGCCGATTTAAGGGGGGCGGGGGGGGGGCGCCCACCTTAAAATTGTCAAAGGGCGCCCTAAAATTGTCAAAGTTAGCGTAATCGATCATAAGTTTCGTCTACAAAATGTAAAAATGTCCACTCCATAGACCTCATTTTTACCCTAAAAAATCTCTAGAATCCAGGAGCTTCCGGGGGCTTCGCCCCCCCCCCGGGTCCCCAACTGGGCTTTGCCCTGGACCCACTTGGGGCTTCAAGGCGGCCCCAAGACCCCTGCCTCCTTCTTGCGCCCCCCCCCCCCCGACTTCAATTCCTGGATCTGCAATTTCTAAAATGATATAAACACCATTTCCCTAATAATACCAAAAACTTAAATGAAGATTGGAACCGAATTCTTCAATTGGAGATTGAGAGATTAACAAAAAAAAATCATTTGGGATTACAATATGCAGGGAGTATGATGCTCACAGGTTAAACAGAGCTGTTAAAAATATTTTTGATATGCTAAGTATCAGCTTCTAAGAAAACCGGGAAATGGTGAATACAGATTCCGTGTGCCAAAAACTTCGTCAATACGCTGAAAACGACTGGAAAGTTAAAATACGATCATCTCCAAAATTAAGGACAATATTTCCTTTAAATCTTATTGTGATTCTGAAGTGTATGTTACTTCAAATATTTCAAAACAAGAACGTTCAGCCCTGGCACAGCTTAGATGTGGCATTCTTCCTATTCGTATGGAAACTGCATGGTCGTTATAAGCAGTGAAAGGACGTGTGTTTTCTGTTCAAGCTCTTCTGTCGAAGATGGAAAAAAACGCTTCTCAATTATATGACTTTCAAATTTATGATAATATAAGGAAAAAGTATTTTGATAGATTTATAATAATCATCCAAATAATAATGATACGGATTATTTTTCAGTGTTAAATCAAAATTACCAGATAAAATTAGCCAAATTTGTACATACAGCCTTTAACCATGTAGAAAAACTCTTCTGCATGTGTAAATTTATCAGTATAATGGAAAAAGTAACTTATAGGTCCAATGGGCCGAGTGCAGTACAGTTTAATATTTATTTTCTTTACTGGTATAAATTAGAGGGTTCATGTTTATAATGCACAATGTCACTACGATTACATACTTACTTAATCAAACTTTACCTTTCCTATCTGAGCCATAGAAAGTTCATAGGCGTTGGAACCGGGAGGGGGGGGGGGGGCAAAGATAGACATAATATAGACATTGAAAATTGGAGCTTAGCCCCCCCCCCCCAACGTTTTTTTGTTGGTTTAGCCCCCCCCCCCACTTTCATTTTGCGCCTATGAAGTTACAGGTCATTATTTTTTGCTATTTATTCATTACAATTTTTAGGGGATGGGCTCGGTTTGGTAGGGTCGTTCAAAAGAAAGTGTCCCCTTGAATTAATGTCTTAGAACTACTGGACATGCATAGCAATAGGTTCATAGTAAAATCTTAATATTAATGAATGTTTAGATAGTATGCAGATTTCATATTGATATTTTTCAGAAGTTCTGTATAACGTTCGATGGTGAAAGCAAAAAATAAATATCAAATTTAATTAAATGAATATAATTATGACGTCATATTCAATAATTTTGCGAATGTCACTGTGTTTTACACCGGGAAAACGCGGTGCAACATTTGTCAGAAATGACAAAAATATTAACAAGAGATGATTTATGAGACCCATTAACAGACAATTAATTTCCTAAATCTGTTTTTACTGTCTTCAATCACACTTGGTGTATTTGATAAAAACAGCATGTGTCGTTTATTTGAATGAACAAAGAGAAATTTCACTATCTTTAATTTTTACGAGTGACTTGAACGAATAAATTTACCTGATCTAAAGTGATTTAAGATTTGATTTGGTGCCTAAGGAACAACAATGAATGTCAGTTTAATCTGCTTTTGTAATCGAAATTGGATTTCTTTAAATCAACAAAATTGTGATTGAGTGTTATTGATGGTTACATTGACTTTATTTCATTTTTATTTTTGATAAATATATAGAATCAGTATAATTTTTATGTACAAAATGATACAAAAAAGGATTCTATTAAACTGGAATACACATTTTTAATATTGCTTTTTTTTTCTTATTTGAACTGGTGATACGGAAATTGCACTTAAACTATATCGGATCAAACAATCAAATAATAGAATATGTGTGCAATATACATGTATGAATTTCTGACCTCGGTCTTTTACCCTTTTACGGAAGCCTATTAGGATCAATCTATGGAGAGAAAAAAATTTAAAAGCGTTATAACGCCTTTCAAAAAGGCGTAATAACGTTTTTTGAAAAGGTGTTATTACGCCTTTCCAAAAGGCGTTATTACGCCTTTTATTTTCAATACATGATTAACTTGGCCCACTCCGGGGGCTGAAATCTTACCCTCGGGACATGAATTTCACAATTAAATAAAGGGCTACTTTCTTAAAAAATAATTTAAACATATTGTAGTTAGATTTCCAGGAAAAAAAGATTTTTAAATGTGTAATGTATTTTCAGTGTTAAACCAACTTAGTCCTTCTCTGATGCCAAACACACCTCTACAAAGGGGCATGGATTTCACAAATTTGGTTGAAGGCTAATTGCTCATTATACCCATGCAAATAGTTTGTCCGCTTTTTTCCAAGAGGAGAGAAAAATATTTTCAAAATTGACATGAATTTTTAATACATGGCAAGCAAAGTCCCTGTCTGAATCTGCCTGTATCCTGGATTTCCACAAGTAGAGTGTTGACTTCTCTTAATACGCATGTAAACATTTGTCTGCGAGATGTGCAGGAATATAGAAAATACTTTTAAATATTGCATAAATAAAGATGGCTTTGATTCAATCTTTCAAGTATCTATTAATATAAAAACGCATTTCCATTTTTGGATATAACGCCTTTTCAAACAGGCCGGTAGTACGAGTGCAAGGGGGGGGGGGGGCTCCCTCACCCCACTTTTTGAAGGAATAGTCTTGCTATACTTTAAATATAAAAATTCATTTAAATTGCATTGCTGCTTGGTCCCTGAACATTTTGTTGCAGTATGTTTAAACTCTGGCGAATCATTGCATTTAAAAAAGTTTTACCGAAAAGTTGTAAAAAGATCCCCCTCAAGTTTAGGCAGTTTAATAGTATTTTTTCGGGGGGGGGGGGTGTTTCTTGTTTTTTGTTTGCTTGTCAATTTTTGGGAGGTTGCCCCCTCCCCCCTTTCAAAAGCACGGGCCTGTCAAAGGCATAATAATGGCTCTTCAAAAAGCATAATAACGCCTTTTGAAATTAATATTAACGCCTTTTCGAAAGGCGTTATAACGCCTTTTAAATTTTTTTTCCTTCATAGATTGATCTTAATAGGCTTTCGTACCTTTTGACTTCAATATCAAAAGTATTTTTTTTTTAATAAAGGTATAAAATTAAGTCATTGGAATTATGATAAAAAAAATCATTTCACAAGCTTCAAAGGTTTTTAGAGATATCGTCCGGAAACATGAGTGTTACATACAGAATGACCGACAGACGGACAAACCCAAATTAATATCCCTCACTTTCGGTGAAAGTGGGGGACATTCAGTGAGAAGGATAAGGTTTCCATCCTATACATAAAATGTTTCAAAAAGAAGCTTTAAGTATCTCAAACTTTCATGATTTCTATAAATCAATAAACAAGGATTTGTTCGCTATCAGTAATTAATACTGAATGCTATTGATGGATGAGTTGTCTTTGTTTCATTACTTGCTTTGATTTTCTCACTGAGAACCTGGATGTCCTCAGTAGAAAGGGCCTCTTAATGTTTTTACACATGATTATCATTTAAACAAAACTATCTCCTAGATTTCCAAAATAAAATAAATGAAATAATTTGAAATATTAATATTAATGGCACACTGCTTTCAGATAAAAACAAAATCAGCAACAAATGGCATAGAACAAAAGAACAAATAAGAAAACAAACTACAGACGAAACAATTAAGATGTGTTTGTGAAACACTGATGCCCCCGTATTGCAACTTATAGGAAAGGTTAAACTTTATCAAATGCATATCAAATATGTTGGTACCCAAAGTAAGGTCTTGTCTCGAGGAATAAACCTGTGAAATATGAAAGCCCTACCAGCAACCATTGAATAGATATGGAAAAGTTTTTTTCAAAAGTATGTTAAACATCAAGGTCAAGGTCAAATGGTCAAAATTAATGGTGCCCAAGGAAAGGCCTTCTCCCAAGAAATACAGGTGGAATATGAAAGCCGAAGTATCAATTGTTCAAAGGTTATGACCTAGATTAAAGTTTTCCAAAAGTAGGTCAAACTCCAAGGTCAAGTTCAAAGGATCAAAGTTGTTGGTATTCAAAGAAAGGTCTTGTCACAAGGATTACATGTGTGAAGTATGAAAGCCCTAGCATCAACTGTTCAAAAGTTATGGCCAAAGTTAAAGTTTGGTGAAATTTTGGAAAACTGGGTAAAACTCCAAGGTCAAGGTCAAAAGGTCAAATATGGTGGTACCCAAAGAAAGGTTTTGTCACAAGGAATACACATGTGAAAAATGAAAGCCATAGCTCCAACCATTCAAAAGTTATGGGCAAGGTTAAAGTTTTTGCGGACAAACAGACACACAGACAGATAGACTGACAGACAGACGGACGGACAGGGCAAAAACTATATACCCCCGAATCTTCGATACGGGGCATAAAAATGTACCTATGTATACATAAAGATAAAAAGGAAGAAAATGGAAAAAAAAATCACACAGATTGTGAACATAAATGATCCACATGACACATAGCTCTGTGAGTGGCTTATTGAACACCAGTGACATTCTTACAACAATAAAAACACAGTTAGATAAGTAAGTTAACATGGGAGA